AATTAACAAGAATTTTGACTCAGGTGAGCTATTTACGGCCAACTTGGCCGTCTTGTTATGATAATTTATAGAAATGTTCACCACCATTTAATGTATTGCTTCATACATGATCCAGTTCAAAGGTCAAGATTACACACAGAGCTAATTACTATGCATATCTATAAGACCTACATGTTCATCAAAAGCTTTTGACGGGCGTATTTTGCGACAATATTAATTGCCCTTGTTCTTCTTTGTATAATCTACTCCTTTTCTAACACAGCAGAAATAAATCATTCAGCATGGCCACGTGTCACAGTCTAGAGGTTCAGAAAAACCCCCGGATCCAGTAGGCCATAGGGATCATATATAAATATTTGATAATATGCAGGCCCTAATCATATTTCAAGCTAAAGTTTTAATTGATATATTGGTCATTTAATATATTATATGAATCATCAAGTATATATAACTTTTAGAATCACAAACTATTACAAATAACAAAAAAAGTAAGTTATTTATTTCCCTCTATGTTTGATATGATTCTGATTCCATGTGTTCCGGATCACAGGTCGTGATAGTGTCCTGTACCATTACGTAGCACTCTAAGGAAAAATGGATGAAAGAATTCCGAAGGTATATTAGGGGGAAAGCAAACTATATGTTTTCAGAGCAAAGCAAAAATGTTAAACTATGAACATTTTGATCAAGTGTCACTGCGATTTCTTACAACTGGGTATTTTGTAATATTTGTAAGACAGTAGTTGGGGCGTCCGTGGCCGAGTGGTTAAGGTCGTTTACTTCAAACCACTTGCCCCTCACCGCTGTTGGTTCGAATCCCGAAAGGGACTTTGGATTCTTTGATGTTAGGAGGCTATCCAGCTGTCTTACGGAACGTCGGTGGTTCTACTCAGGTGCCCGTTCGTGCCTGAAATAATACACAGAAGGGCACCTGAGGTCTTCCTCCACCAGTAAAGCTCGAACGTCGCGATACGACCCATACTGTGTCAATGTGACGTAAAACCCAAACCAAACAAACAAAGACAGTAGTTTTTGTGTTATTTTCTGGAGGTGTGCTGCTTTAAAGCCATCATTTATTCACTTTTATCGTAGATATTTGTTGTTTTTTGTTGTTGTTTTTTGTATGAATTGAACTTTATGCATTCTGGGGTTGAGGTAATGACTAAAGAGGATTTAAGAATAGAATTTTATTTCATTCATGCACAGAGGTATGAAAAGCCATTAAATGAACATGAATATTACACTAGTGTAACCACAAGTTAACATTATATTGTTTTATTTAAACATCAAAATAGGCTAAATATTAGCATTGCACTAAATGTATATGTGCATCAATTAAAAGAAATACTCTTTTTTCACTGTGTACCGTTTTTATTTTTGGCATGTAGTGAATAAAAACTTATCATTTTGTATTTATCTCTAAATTTATGGAACTCGTTAAACTAAACAACTCTTTGCTTGCCAAATACTCATATGATATATTTTTTTCATATTGTTCAAACAGCTTAGTAGTTGTTTTTTGTAATACAACAAATAACAATTAAACCAGATGCATTCAAAAATGGGAATTCCAAAAGAAATGATCACCTACAATAAATAAAACATGTTATACTATTTGCATACATTTTGAGAGAAAGGCATATATTTAAAGCATGTTTATTTTTCTTTTGTGACTGATTAGATGTCAAACACTTCAATGATGTCATCTGTAAATCTACTTATACACATCTTTGTCATTTGTTGATTACAACAGACTGATCTAATTCCCTCTTTTTCACTATCAGCTTTAATAACCTCTCCTATCAGCTCACCATCACATGTAAACTGTAAAACAGTTTTGGAGAGTGCTCCAAATACCAGTACACTACCTGCTTCAGCGAGATAACAACAGTTAGCTCCCTGTAGTTGTCTATCATTAAATGATGTAATAACCTGACCATTGTTGTCCAGTACTATCAGTCCTTTAATAAAGTCAGCAACATAAATCCTAGTAGCATCCTGACTGACAGCTAAACTGTGTATGTTAGAGAACAATTCATGTCCTGATCGATCCTTACTGAACTGATTAAGTTTCCTACCTGACAATGTATACATATATACTGATGTGTCACCATCTGAGATATATAAATAATTGTTTGCATATGCAAGACCATAACATGCAAAATCAGTGTTAATCTTGTTTGTTGTTTGCATATTTCTTTCTAGAGAAATGAAATGAACTTCCTGTTTTGATGGAACAGTTACTGCTACTTGTGTGTTATTGATCATACACACTTGCCATGGATATGCAGGTAGATCACAGTAATCTGTGACAGTATAGTTGTAACGGTGTAACCATTTAAGTTTGTCGTTGTTGTAATCAGCTAGAATTATTGTACCATCTTCCATACAGCAGGCACTGGTGATGTCACAACTGTCATTATCAGACTTAGTTTTTACATTATATGTTTGGTTACCTTTAATCTGAAATAAATTGCAAGCAGTCTTTGCAGGTTTCTCTGATAGTGTGCCTATGGTCTTCTTTTGTTCTAACTGTGTGAGAATTGTTATGTCAGGTTGAAAGTCTATGTCTCCTACTGTACTATTTATTTTGGCATGCTCCATATAATTGGTGGCAACATTTGCAGCATCTTCTCCCATCTTCACATAAACAAACACTTCAGAATTATTTGTGTTTGTAAATGCTAATTTATCATTAGCTGATCTAATCCTGGACTTATTTGCTTGTAGCTGTTTTAAACTGTCTTCGATTTTGTCTTCAAGACATTTGACTTTACTTTCTATCTCATCTATAGAACTTTTCTCCAGCTTGTCAAGATGGTCATTGATTTCTTGACGGAATTTTCTGATATCAGCCAGTATTTCTGCTTTTCTCTTTAACAGCCTTTGTTTATCCTGTTTAAATATATCAGCTTGTTTTTCAAGGGTCTTGGCTATTTCCTTAAGTTTTGTTTGAATGTCTCTCGATTCAACTTTGTAAGTATTCTTTTGGATAAATTCTGGTATGTAGAATGTATTCTTACATAATCTGAAAAATAAGTTTAAACAGTTTATGGGGCTATGAGATGATGTAGGAAGTTGATATTATTTAGTGTTATATATTAAAGATAGTCTAAGAATATTATGTAAAGTACCTACTAAACATTCCATATACATTCTTAAAAAATACTAATAATTTACCTGTGATCAACTGCTATACATGTAGAACAGCCAACATTATCATGGTTCTGACATACATATCAATGTGTTTATGACTATGTCTGTCACATCTCTCTGCTGTGGTGCCATCGGCATAGCTTTGCTGGTTCCTGACTTAACTTGAGATTTATCCAATACCTTGTGACCAGCACATAAAGGCACTTTACTGTGAACTTTGACACATCTAACACAGAAATAATCTTGACAATCTACACAGTATTTTTCACCTTCAGTGTTCCTGCGTTCATTTCTACACATTGAACATAATGCGTCAAATATTTCATCCGAGAGAATATCCGTATCAATTTGTCGACCTGTGGCCATTTTGTCTTTTACCCCTGATTACCTTTGTTAGTCAATCTATTTACATGGTAAAATCGATAAAAACGTCTCTATTTCTTTCACAGTTATTTTAAATTTAAACATTGACAATATACTCTATAATTAAGATAACTGAAAGCCTTAAGAATCTTCTACATTCACACTCCTGGAAAAATATCATTTTCTACATAATAATTTTTTCATTGATATAAATCCTCTCCTGTTGCGAAATAATGTCTAAATGATTCGACCTACTTTGGGTTTAACTTAAACAAAGGTTCCATTATATCTCTTTGCACACAGTGTAACTTTATCTGGTGAAACATTATCTAAAGTTTATTCAAATTCAATACTAAATTGTTTAACTTTATATAGGTATATAAAGAGTTTATATAGGGCTGGTTTAAACATTATGCTATTGAAATCAATATACCACAGAAGAAAATATTTTACTGAAAAAAATATAACTTACTTTATTTCCACTCACAAAGCAAGTGGTGTACCAATATACATGTATATATAAGCCCTTTTGTTGTTGTATTTAGGACACATTTAAAAATGAGCTGTTGCAATATCAAAATTATTTATTTGTCATGGCTTGACCATTGAAAAGGTCTAATTAGACCTCATTATCAAAGGAAGACTTATACAGGAAAGAATACAAAATCACCTCTTTAAATTCAGATTTATATATATTGATTTAAAAGAATCCAGTAGAAGAACACAATTATTGCTCATAAGCTTTCAAACTGGAATTCTCTAAGTTTTGCCTATTTCTATAATTATGTCGCAAGTCCTATATTAGGTAACTTTGAACGGCCAGCCAAACTTCAGAACATATAAACCGCTGTACTATGTTAACTTCTGTGTAATGCCTTGAAAACAAACATCTCTTTGATTTCATAAAGTAACACATATACTTTATCAGTAAACATATACTGAGTTGGTAAAAAATGATTGTGGAAAACTGCTAGAGCCTGGTAGGAAACAAGTATGGATTTTATGTTCCGAGTTCTCAAAGGGGTCGATTAGAAAAATTCATTTGTTTAAAGGTTTGATGTTTAACGTGTAACCAACGCTGAACAGCCTTTGACTCATATGAATTGGATTTTGCTGGAATTAGTTTGTGATATTTTCATAATTAGTAATATACAAAATTGAAAAAGAAACTGATCTTTGGCTTAAATTTCATACATACATACATACCATACCATACCATACCATACCATACCATATCATACCATACCATACCATACCATACCATACATAAATACAGACAGACAGACATACATACCATACATACATCCTTATACAAACATACATACATACAAACATACATACATACATACATACATACATACATACATACATACAATACCATACCATACCATACCATGTCATGCCATGCCCTGCCATATCATACCATACCATACATTATTTACATTTTAATTACCTTTTGGAAAAAACACAGTCCAAGAATTTTACAAATCACAAAAATGACCACGAAATTGTGTGAATTCACAGTAATGTATGTAGGTATATATTTTAAATATTTAGGACATTGTTATATTGTTTTATTCCAGCAATATGATGCAGGACATGTATGGGTTGGTGTGATTTGTGTCCTAGCTGTTGTATTGTACATCATCTTCTTTGCGTCTGGCCCAGGTAGGTCCTTGATAACATTTATAGAAACAATAATTAGAAAATTTTAGATCTCACATCATAAAAAAAGTATAATGAACATTTTAAAGCTGGAAAGTCACCATATGACTTATACTGCGTCGGTACAACGTGAAATCCAGTCAAAAAAATTAATGCTACCAACAGTCAAGAGACTGGCGAGACTGACCTGTATTTATACTGGTAGCAAAGACTAATTATTTTTGGTAAAGCAGGATTTTATGTAATGTGTTGTAAGCTGTATTGCGCAGGTCAAACTTAAAATCTATGTAAGCATTAAAATGTAAGGAAATTGTATTGTACTTTTTTTAAAGCAATGCTAAACATCAAAACTTTTTGGTTATAAAAATTAAACACAAATTGGAATGGGCAATCTAGGAAAGCTGGTTAAGTGGACTTACACTGTGGAGATATGACTTTAAAAAAAGTGTAAAATCGGCATAATAAACAAAGTTACAGTGAATGGATTATGAAATTTATATATATATATATTTTTACTTCAGGGGCTATACCATGGTTTTTCACAGCTGAGTTATTTGCTCAAGGACCTAGACCTGCTGCAGTCAGTATAGGGGTACTGTTTAACTGGTCAGCCAATTTCTGTGTTGGTCTGTTTTACCCTTTTCTACAGGTATGATAAAATCGATTGATTTGTCTGTCAAAAATTTATAATGTGTCCAAGTAAAAATAATGCCTTGAAGCAAAATTAATCGATATTTTTTATAAAGTACAGATGTCAGAGTTATGACCCTTGTCACTTAAGATGTGCATATGGTTAAGGAACATGGATTTGAAATTTCAAGTGAACTTATTAAGAATTTGTGTGGGTAAATGTTACTACACGATGTCAATAATCCAAAATCTGGACATTGGAGTGTTTATTAGGTATCTCCTTTTGTATTTTATGTTCACATGTACAGTTGAATTTCATGATACTATCATAAATCTTATGAAGAACTTTGCAGAATTAATTTGTTTGGACTTGAATGTTTAAAAGTTCAAATTTAAAATACTGTTGAATTTACTGTCTACAGTAGTCTCCTGCACAAAGTAATTGGTTCTCTTGTTATACAACTCCGATATGAAAACCCCTTATGAAAAGTTCAAATTCAAAACAAGATAAAATAAAAAACGCTAATTCAGATGTGCTTCATTGATGTCTAGATTATTGATAAACAATCACTTGGCCATTTCTCCCATAGCGTCACATTCATGCAAAAACTCAATTTGTACATTTTTGAAAATTTTCTTGGAAGCAAAAAAAAAAATAAGAAAAAGTTTTGTATTCTACCATTTAACTGAGATACATGTAGCATGTAAAATTTCTTCATTATCAGTCAAGAAATCAATGTGATAATTTTTTGCACTATATTATCTTGGTGCAAGAACTTTATTTGTGCATTTATCGTGTTATTGCATTTATAGAAATAATAAGGTCTATAAACTTCTAACAATGCATAATTGGTAGAAATTCATATAACATTACTTATTTTTTGTTTCTTTTTTGTTTAAGGAACTAAAAAAAGCATACTCTTTCTTTTACCATTTTTTTGTTTTCCCCGATATTCGGGATATTTACATTTTTTTAAGGGTCCAGAAACAAAAGGGAAAAACCCATTGAAGAGATTACCGCTCAGTTTCAAATAACTGTACCTTATAATCGTATAGCATTAACCGAGGATACAGATTAGGATATGTTGAATTTGTTCTGTAAAATGGAGATGAGGATACAGATTAGAATGCATTGAATTTTTACAGAGAAATGGTATACCATTAACCGAGTATACAGATTAGAAAACGTATTTTTTTCTAAAATAATGGTCTACAATATTAACCGAGGATACAGATTAGAATATGTTAAATTTTTATGATGGTATACCACTAACCGAGAATACAGATTAGAATACAGTGGATTTTACAAAATAATGATATACCAATAACCGAGGATACAGATTAGAATATGTTAATTTTTTATGGAATAGTGGTGTACCATTAACCTAATTAAGATACAGATTAGAATACATTGAATTTTTACACAATAATGCTATACTGTTAACAGAGGATATACATTAGAATATGCTGAATATTTACAGAATAATGGTATACCATTAACTGAAGATACAGATTTGAATATGTGAATCTGTACTGTAAAGTTCTATACGAGGATACAGATTAGAGTACGTTGAGTTTTTACAGAATAATGGTATACAATTAATAGAGGATACAGATAATAATACATTGAATTTTTATAGAGTAATTTATACCATTAACCGAGGATACAATTTGTCCTGGATTTTACTGTGAATTTACATCATATTAACATGTCATTTTATCTACGATTTTTGTTATGGGGTGGGGAATTGCAGGGGGGGGGGGCTGGTCTTTCTACATGTAATTGTATATATTTATATGTAAGAATTATGAAAGCATGATTTTGTTTTTGGAATTTCATGGTTTGACTATCCTTGAACAAATGTTCTTTTTTTTTAAATCATGCTTAATACCTTAAATGGACTTGTCCATCTTTCTGTCTCGACAAAACCATTCATCATTTTTAGAAGAAATTTCAAAATACAACATGATTAAGAAGTTACTATGAACTGACTGAACAGTGCAGTGAATGATCATATGGCATGGATTTGTGGGCATTTCTTGGTCTGCATTGCACTAGAATGGGTAGAATCATAATGAAATAATAACTTAAATATGTTTTTTGCAGTCATTTAACTTCCACAAACAAATTATAGGTAGTAGAGGTTTTGATGGTGATAATAATGCTTAAAAGTAACATGACTCAAGCTATTTAGGCCAGTTATTTATGGTGGCAAAAATAAAGGAGCTCCACTGAGGTCTAAAAGCCCAAGAATATAAATTTTGATAGGTTAACTTAGATTGGGGCAAATAATATTGTGTAATCATGAAAAAGATAATTAAGAAATGTAATCAGAATTTAATTGAACATTAAATTTTTATGTGATTCTTGTCCTGATTTGAGACAAAAGTGATAACACATTTGAGCTATGTCACGACAAAACCAACATAGTGCGTTTGCGACCAGCATGGATCCAGACCAGCCTGTGCATCCGCGCAGTCTAATCAGATCGATCCATGCTGTTCGCTGTCAGTTTCTCCACTTGTAATAGAGTTGGTAAGCGAACAGTATGGATCCTAATCAGACTGCGCGGATGCGCAGGCCGGTCTGGATCCATGCTGGTCGCAAACGCACTATGTTGGTTTTGTCAGCTCATTTAGTTTTTGTGATCATTTTGCACAATATTAATGATTATTCTGGGACTTTGCATATAAGTTATTGGTCCAGTCCTTAAAAAAATGGCAGGCAAATATGGAAAAATATTTCCAGTATTGTCAAAATTGAAAACCTCAGTGGTGTCCCTTTCATATTTCAGGCAGATAAATTTCTGTAATATAAATCTCAGTCATTTATATTTTCTATTTTTAAGGTGTTTTTTTATTAACCTTAACATTGTGTCATGACTTTAATATTAGTGTTAACTGGTATGTTTATGTCTTGGTTTGATAAAGCTCATGTTATTTTTTTGAGTTCAACTACATATTATGTGATGTGAAAGGTTGAATTATAGCCCAACCTCCGCAGAGCAATTGTCTCTTTACAACAACAGTTTTAATTATTCCCAACGTAAGACTTTTCAATAAATTTAATCTGTCAAACAAAACCTTTCAACAACAACCAAATCTCTGTTTGCAAAAGGGTGTTGCTCTGCCGAGGATGTACTATACATGTTTAATTTCATTGGTATTTAAGCTTAGTTTCTTTCTTTTTTTTAGTTTGACATACTGTAAACTCTGCTTATAAGGATATTCAGGGGACCGCCGATTTTAATCCTTATATTTGAACATCGTTATATCCCAGAGGCAATCAATTTGAAAACAAGTGCGGGTCCCAGGCAACAGCGTCATAAGTGGCATGTCGTTATAAACAATTTCATTATAAGTGGAGTTTACTGTATACACTTCATTATTGTCCAAAGAAAAGACAAATAAGGTTGATACTTGTGATTGTGAATAAATTGCTACTGTGGATAATTAATAAAAAAAACATACCCCACATACCCCTGATATATAAGCATCTATGGCAGCGTTTTAAATCTCTGTAACATATGAGAACTTTCCAATCAGCATTGAATTAACACAGAATTTGTTCTTGTTGAAATTGACTGGTGCATGATTTATACGAGGGATGATCAAAAATTAACTGGACTTTGTAAATGGTTCTTTACCTGTTAAATGAATTTACATAAAAATGCACGGAAAATAAATCGGAATGTATTCCCTGAATTATACAAAAAATACCAACAAGAAATAATAACAAAGAAAACAGTTATGCAGTTATTGGCATGCACATGTAAAGCAACACGGCGCACGGTATAACTTTAAAATTGACGTTAACGACGTCACAAGCGTATTGTCCTTATTAACGGAGCAGCTTTTACTCATTCACGGAGTAGGCCAATACGTGGTACAGTCATGTTGTTGATGCGGCGGATCCACTGCCTATATATATCACTGTATAAGTTGGTATCATATTGTATTGTAGTAGAATGGATGATGATAAAGAGCACCTGTAACTACGCAAACTTCCGTTCTTTCCTTCTGTAACTTTATTGTTTGAAAAATCGCACATACAATAAACTATATTATGTATTACAAATAATGTAAAGTAATGTTGCTGAATGATAATGTATCATACATACGAAAAAAATAAGAAGAGAATAATACAACTATGAACAAAATTGTCATTTTTTTAAAATAAATAAAACGCATAGTCGATCTTGAACAGTGACACAATTTCTCCATTAGACTACTGCGTAAAATGAGAAAATAATTGATACAATTGTAAACCAAAAATACAATATATGTAATTAATGCATTATAACTATTATCATTTTAAAATTCTTAGAGTTGACTGCACCGTCCCGTTGCTACTGTCGAACATTGTTGACAATGTCCGCAGTCAGTCGACCGTCATTTTTCAACGTCTTGGCGTTTGACGTCACCAACGTCTTGAAAGTTTCTTTTTTCTGTCTCTCCCTTACTTGTTTTCTATTTCTCTATTACCCTTTCGTAATCCTTTATGCTAATCAAAAATATACTGTGGCTTCCTTGAACTTTTCCCTTGATAGCCATAATCTTTTTCTACGTTTTAAACAGTTTCTCGTCTTACTTTTGACAGTTTTTTCTTATTGATCGATTTTCGAGACATTCCGACGACATAGTTTTAACGCGAGTATTTCTTTAACAAGTGACGTTTGAATTGTGATTGCAAATATAAATATGGTTGAAATGAAGTCATTTTTAACGTCAAAGATATGGTTCATGACGTTTTGGCGTATTTTGAAATCTAAATGTGCCATATTGTAAAATAGACGCAGCATAAAGCGCCTTAAAAGCGCCTTATGTCAAGGCGAATTTATGCACTGCGCCGGTGGGTGTGCGTTACCATGGTTTTTGAATTCGCTGTTACGGACAAGCATTTTGCGTTATCAGATTAAATATAGCATCAGTTTACAGGTATTGTTTTCCGATTAAGTGTGATATATAACAATAAGTGATACGTTGAAAATTCTTCAATTGACAGTCACAGTCCGGTTT